GTCGCCTATAAACGATTCAAGTGCGCTGGTTCGACCTAGTTTTCGCAACTTGCTCGGAGCGTCAGGGAGGCCTGGTGGAACGTACCTAGTCCTGTACCTTCTGTCATCTCATTTACGATTTCCAGCATCGCAACATTGGCTCGGTACATTCGCAGACGTTTCGTCGACATCACCATTGAGATATGTTATCGTTAGCGCAGAGTTGCAACGTATTAAAAGGTAAATCTCACTGACGATGCTGACTGCGATGTCAACGAAACGTCTGGGAATGTTCCAAGTCACGGGTCCGATGCTGGCAGAGGACAGCAGATTCCTCCTTAGAACTAGTGGGATTCGATGTTTCCTCTTATCTTCGCTGCACATGAGACGAGATGAACTTGTCACCAGCTCCGATCTCTACTTTCGTCAGCCATTAACGCGTCCAAACAATTTAGAATACCCTTATTGAGGAAGATTGCTCTCGCGAACTCCCATGCATTTCTTTGTAAATATGAAATCAGTACCTCCGTTTTTTCACTCCCATCGAAAATAAATGCTACTTCCTGGTACATCGAAGTGAGTTTCGAAGAATTTCTCAATCAATTTATGCGCTTGTACTTTCCGTTTCATGTCACATCTTGTCCTATGAAAAATAATCACCTTCAACAAAACCGAGTGAATACATCTCCTAAAGGATAGTTTGCGACTCCCGCTCAACCTGGAGATATCGGAGCGACAAGGATTGATATAATCAATTTCCAAAAGATTGGAGTGGCCTATCGAGTCGCTTGAAATCGAGTAGCTCTACTTCATAGCTTCACAGCTGTGGTTTGGAACGATTCGACTGGGAGACCGGGATTTCCTTGGTACTGTTGTGTGTAACTTCGGCTCTTCTTGATGGAGATAACGACAAAGATAATCGGCTTTGAAACCGTATCTAGGCTCCGTTTTTACAAGATAAGCAGGTGGTACAGAACTGGATTGACGCACAAAATGAAGCCTGTCTCCGAGGAACTTTGGGATCTCGTTTGATCTAGACTTTGGCTACCTGCTGAGGAGGTGGGAAGATCATGTCGTCAAGAGACGCCAGGTTTTCGGTCCCGCTCGCTTCAACTCGAATAGGAAACGAAGCAGATCAGTCACTTTTCCGAGGTCGTACACGCTTCGTAAAGCGTTGGTTGCGTGAATCTGCGTTCGGGGTGTGAGAAGCAGAGAATAGCTTGTGAGTCTTCTGTACCTGTTTGGAGGTTTGATTGAGTTCAGACAATCCGGCATTGGTACAGTCGGCACAAACTTTTACAGAAATGCATACTTAAGCCGACTTTTCCGTGAGCACCTTCGGCATGTTTGCAGTCATGAGGACTTCCAAATTTACCGGTTAGCTAATTGATGAGGGCGGTATAAATGCCACGAGAGCAAATGCGTTAAGAAAGCTAAAAGCGCCCATGAAGCCCAGTTTAATGGGCCACCTGAGGCTGCGTCGGACACTTTTGTCCACCGATTTTGAGGCATCGTCAAGCGACGCAGTACAGTTGCAGAAGCTTCTGCCACTTTGAACAAGCTCCTGCCCAAAACCAGTTCGGACGAGGCAAATGAGACTTTCGCGGAGGGCAGTGGCGAGGGAGTTGAGTTAAAAGGGAAGAAATGGGAAAAATTCTCGCAAGCTCAGTCCCTTTCTGGGCATCTGCGAACTGTTTCCACCTGCCCGAGCCTGGGCAAGAGGTACTCCATTGGGTGTAGGGAGGCAAGGGGGAACAGCTGCACACCAAACGGCCGTCTGTATAAGCGGCTAGAGTTTAGACTTTTCTCGGTCGACTCCGCGGCTGGAGCGGGCTTTGGAAGCTGCTATCGGAGGTCTGGAACCGCCAGACTTACAGGGCCGATGGAGAACATTATTATGAGTAGCAACGAATGATGGAATGTTGGCAGAATGAGAGAGGAATATACAAAAATGACAACATTTTAGATGCATAATCATTTGTACCACATGTAATGTGCTCGTCATTAATCAAACATTTAACTAAGTAAACGGAAAGACACGAGGATTTATTCGTTTTCTATTACATGCTTATGTGGTAAATAGGACACTGTATTTCCTTTAAGATAAAGATATAAACACACAGACTTAGTCCTAATATTTTAAATCCATCAATTAATTAATTCTGTCCTTGTAGCGGAGTTTTATAATCTGAAACATTATAATCTTTTAATATATATATTTATGTTAATAACTATGGTATATGAATTGCTCAAGGCAATATAATGTATATATATATATATATATGTAGTATAAATGCATTAATATAAATGAGTTTAATTTAATTACATATAATATATTATACAATATCATATATTAATATGATATATTAGAATGTATTATCGATTGTATGATGTACTATAGGTAAAGCATCTTATATAATATATTAAATTTCGTATAGAATTATATGAAAATAAGGTATTTAAATTATATACATATATGTAATTAATTATAACCTGAAACATGAATATAATATATTGGTTTAAAGGTTCTACATTTTTCTGA